ATGGGGAAGGAGAGCCAAACTACAGCCTACCCTGGGCCAATGTAGGACCCCCCAAGCAGAAGATACCCCCCACATGGTTTGCCTGGGCCCCCCTGCCTCCTTGGTTGTGGTCCAGGTACACATGCTGGGTGGATGACCTCTACAGGGAAGCCTCTGCGTGAGGTCAGATGGAAGCTAGAAAGCCTGGCTCCACTACGGAAGAGCCAGGGCTGACTGGCTGCCCTCACACCATTTCAGAGGCTCAGAAGTGAGTTTTATACACATGCAGATGATGATGGCAATGAAGGCAAAGACATTAAGTTGTCTTAAGATGAAGGCTAAGGAAGAGGAACTGGCCTTAATGACCTGGGGTAAGAATCAATGACCTGGCCTCACCTGCCATTCTCCCACTCTAAGGCTCCTCAGACAGGCATACTGCCCTCCCCAGCACTTAAATGACAGGGACACTGCACATTTGGACTGCAGGCTCCCCTTCCACATGCAGACTCTTCCCACCTGTGGCCCAGGGACAGGTGTGGTGGAGCCTTGTCACCTTTTCAGGGCAGGGACAGAGAACTATCTGGATAGGCCCTGGAGGCCTAGAGGCACAGGCCAGTCTCAGCTCAGTTTCCCAAAGCTGTTCAATGAAGCCTCCTTAAAATCTCAGCTTGGCTGGAGCTTGGCTGGGCCTAGGTGGGACATCTGCAGAGGGCTGTCCTGGGCCAGCTCCTCAGATAGTGAAGATTCAGGCCACAACTGGTTAATTTCCCAAGCTGGGCAAAGTAGGCTGGGCAAAGTAGAGCCCGCGGGGACTGTGCAGGCTGACTGTCTTCACTCAGCGCTGTAATCGGCACATCTGCAGACAGGAAATCCTCCTCGCTGAGGTTCCCAGTCTATTATCTGAGACACCTGGTGTGGGCGGGTGATTCAGAGACAAACAATGAGGGGCCCCTGCACAGCAATTAACTGCTTTAACTGCTAATGTGTTTAATCCACCACTGGAGATCAAGGCTGCACTAAGGAAGAGGCTGCCTGTCCCCCTCAGTTTCCAGCATGCAGCACCACTTTGAGATGCCAGGGACTTCAGCATCCCCACTATATGGGACACTGGCCTGGTCCAGTGTGTGCTGTCTGGGCCTCTTCTATCTGTGGGTATTATGGGAGGCTGGAAGGGCATCCATCCCTTAAAAGTCCATTAAAGTCCAGCTGGTTGGGACCAGTACCAGCTGCTTGGATGGGAAGCATGATCCACAGAGATGTATGAGGAACCAGCTATGTAGCCCCCAGGCATATTTTATTTTAACCTCTAGGAATGGATCATCTTATAGCAAGCAGGAATAATGCTTGGTTAAGGGCTTATCAGTGCAAGCAGCAGCAAACATTCCCAGTTGTTAAACTGGGAAGTGGCTCCCAAATGTTTACAAAACCTGGCTCGGAGAGGGCAGTGAAGTCAGCACATGCCCGCGCCAGCCCCACCACCCAGAAGGCGTGCCAGAAACCACTGCCGCCACTGCCACAGCCCTCGGGAAGCAAGGTCAGAGGCCAAGGACTGCAAAAAGCTCCCACCTCCAGCATCAATCACCTAGCAGTCTGTCTGGGGGATGCTCTTTCTGAAAATACAAAAAAAATAGAACAGACTCCCAGCAGGGAAGGGAGGGCATATGCTGGAGCAACTCTGCCTGCTGGGAAACCACCGGGAAGCTGGGGAGACGCAGGCTTTCCATAGGCACATTCCCCGCTCCCTGAGCCACTGCTCTCCAACAGCATCTGGCCATGTGGCCAACCCCTTGATCCAATGGCAAGACAAGGGGTACACATGGTGACACACGCTGGTAGTCCCAGTATTTGGGAAGCTGAAGCAGAAAGAATGCAAGTTTGAGACTATCCTTAGCTACACTGTGAGTTCAATGCTAGCCTATATAGTGAGGCCCTGTCTCAAAAACTAAACCAAACAGGCAAAAACAGCAAAGGTGAGACAGGGTTCTGTGTACCCATAGTGAAGTTAGGCAAATGGGGGCAGGAAAGGAAAGGAACTGTCACCCCACCATTCAGGATAGAGTTTAAGATAAACAGTTTTGTACACTTTTGTATACTCTTTTGTACTGCTCATAATGAACTTACTTTAATTTTTACTATTTCACCAAGAATATTCTCTTTGGTAACTGGTCAGCTTTGGCTGGGGCACTCAGGTCCTCACTCATCCAACCCTTTCTTAGGCCTACAATGTATGAGCCACAAGTCCACCTTCTCTGAATTTGGTTTCATTTCTGATTTCCATATATTTGAGCAGTTTAGGAAAAAGGGTTTATCCAGAGGCATATTGCTCTGTGATACAGTCAGGCTACTGGCACCCAGAGTAACACCTCTGGCCCTCTTGGAGACCACCTGCCTTAGTGAGATGGAGTCAAAGGAGGTTTCTGAGAATGAACTGGTTTCTGAGCCCTGGCTCACATCAGACAGACCCCAGAGATCCAGCTATTCTGGGACAAAGTAGTAAGATCAGTTTCTATTGTTCCAGGTGCTCCTTCTGACAATGTGTAAGTTCATAGACAGCTGAGAAAACTAGAGGAACTCACATTGAGGCAGACCAGGATGTTCACATGGAGATATGGTGTAGATAATGTCAACCTCATCAAGGACCCATGGTGCCTCATGAGGACCCCATTAACAGTGGCCACAGTGCCCTGGTCTCTCAGCATGCCTCTGATAGGGACAACATCTTGGATCTTAGCTCTCTCCATTAGCCTCCCCAGCTCCCCCTCACATAGACCCAAGCTCTAGCCAGGAGTTCCAGTGGCTGAACGCTCCTTCTCCCTAGGGGGCCCAGCAACAAAGTCAACAACAGTTACTTAAGTGCAGCCTCACCTGCTTGGCCTTCATCCCCATGAAAAACTGGGTCCCCCACTCATGGGAAGAAGAATGAGAGCAAGGCTATGTAGTGGCAGACAGTATATGCCTGCTGGGGCTGGAACCCAGGGCCTGTGCATATGGCCTCTACCACTGAGCCACATAATCCCGACCTGCATCAACATAGCTAGCTTGTGAACACCCCTGTTCAGAGCAATAGTATTCACAACAGCCAAAAGGTGGAAGCCGCCTGCATATCCCTCAACAGCTGGATGGATAAACAAAATTATTCAGCCCTAAAAAGGAAGGAAATTCTGACATGCTAGTACACGGATAAACCATGAAGACATTATGATAAGTGACTCAGGCTAGGCACGGAAAGATGAATTCTGTATGAGTCCACTTATGAGTTCCTGGAGTCATCAAATTCAAAAAGAAAGTAGAGTGGTGGGTTCCAGGGGCAGGAGGGAGCTAGCTCTCAGTGAGGATGGGGCTTCAGAGTAGGCATGATGAAAGAGCTCTAGAGACAGATGCTGGTGATGGCCGCACAACAGTGTGAATATACTTAATGCCACTGAGCTGGGTATCAAATAATTAAAATGGAAAATTTCATGTTACATTATGTGTGACCAGAATTTTTTTGGTCTTTTTGAGACAGGGTCTCCCTGTAGCTGTCCTGGAACTTACTATGTAGACCAGGCTGGCCTTGAATCCAGAGAGATCCGCCTGCCTCTGCCTCCCAAGTGCTGGGATTAAAGGCGTGTGCCATCACACTCGGCTACCAGAATTTTTTAAACTTAAAAAATATGCCATTGTGTTTATGTTCCTGTGATAGCACATGTGTGTAAATGTGTGTGTGTACATGTGTGCACATGCATGTGAAAGCCAGAAGTCAATCTCAGGTGTTCTTTCCTCAGGGGCTATCCACCCTGTTTTTGAGGCAGGATCATGCGTTGGCTTAGAGCTTTCTGAGGAGGCAAGCTCCAGGGATCCTCCTGTCTGCTTCCCCAGCTCTAGGTACAAATGTGCTCTGCCAAGCCCAGCTTCTGAGTGCTGGGGATCAAATTCAGGTCCTCATGCTTGTGTAGTAAGCACTTTAGAACTAAGCAATCTCCCCGCCTTTCTACATATCAATTTCATGTTAAAAACTATTAAAGTGTGCTGGATGACTCAGCAGTTAAAAACACTGGTTGTTCTTACAGAAGACCCGGGTTTGAATCCCAGCACCCACATGGCAGCTAACAACTGTCCATAACTCCAGTTCCAGGGGGTCCGACAGCTTCTTCTGTCCTCCATGGGCATTGCATGACATGGATGCACTTACCTACATTCAAGCAATACACTCATACACATAAAAATAATAAATAAAAATTTTTTAAAAAACTATTAACTTAAACCAAGAGTGGTAGTGCATGCTTATAATCCCAGCATCTGGGAGATGGAGGCAGGAGGATCAGAAGTTCAAGATCATCATTGACTATATACAGAGCTTGAGGTCAGCCTGGGCTACATGAGATCCTGCCTCAAAAAACAAACAAAACAGCGGGTATGATGGTACACGCTTTTAATCCCAGCACTTGGGAGGCAGAGGCAGGCAGATCTCTGTGAGTTCAAGGCCAGCCTGGTCTACATAGTGAGTTCCAGGATAGCTGGGGCTACAGGGAGACCCTGTCTCAAAAATACCAAAAAACAAACAAACAAACAAAACAAAAAACACCAATAAACTAGCTTGAAATTATAATGTTAACTCGTTAAAGTTAACATATAGCAAGATTTATACCCCATAGGAACTATTTTCGTGCCAAAACCTTATGAATAATCTATGAAGGGCTCTGAAAGCCAAAGGCCTCACAAATCTTCCCTGAATGATGACACCTGCTGACACCATCAAGCCTCTTCTTTGGTTTGCATTTCCAGGACATCTCATGGCAGCAGAGAAAGAAACAGAAGCAATGGTGTGCTTGGGACAGCAAGGTGTGGGTACTGTGCCCATGGGCTTCACAGTAGCCTGCAAGGTGTGCCAGGCAGCAACTGACCTGCCTGGGAGCCAGCAGAGTGGTGGACCCAGGAAATGAAGGGAGGGAAGGAAGGTGAATACCCCTGTTCCAAGGAAACAAGGTTCTGCTGGTCCCTGGGCTCTCAGAGGTAGTGTGTATAGCTCGCTGCATCCTTACCTATGGCCCACAGGACGGTGTCAAAGATGCCTGTGCCTTCCTTGCCAGAGGCATGGTCATCCCAGGTGACTTGCAGTTGGCCAGCTGGGAGCTTTTCAATGCGAGAGGGGACACAACCCTTCAGGAACCGGGTGCCATGAGACTCCATGTGCTCGGTGACCAAAGATGACATTTGCTGCAAAGCACAAAAGGACCACATTAGGACATGGTGGCAATGAGAACACAGCTACTGGTGATAGCCACAGTGAGGCCCCACCCCCCACCTTGCTCTCCAAGGCCTTGGTGGGGCCCTGAGAGGGCTCAGAGGAGAAGGTGGGGTGCTCACTACCTCCACCTCTGGATCTTCTTGCTCTGTGATACTGGAAGCCAAGTCAGGAGAACACAGATACCCCTTGTCTCCAAATCCTTAGATCCTAAAACTTCTGGTCAAGACATACTTGGCTTGCAGCCTCCTTTCTAGGTCACAGTTATTCTGCCCAAGCCCATTCAGATGGCCCTCCCAACAAGTCCCCATTTAATGTCAGCAATGGCCCCTCATTGCCATCAGGGAGCTGGAGCAGCTGGCAGAAGACTGTTTCCCCAAGCAATGCAGGCACAGTAGATACAGGCACAGACTAGGGGGTGCTGCTCCCCTCTCCCCACCCAGGGGCTTGCAGTTGAGGCCCATGTTAGCAGCTGAGATCAGCCACACTGCTTCTTTCAGAAGGACATGAACAGTCGGCATTTCAATCCTCTGATATCTGTCTAGGAGGGCTGGCTCATCCTGGACCACATGCATGAGGAACCCTGCGCATCAAGGACATCTTGGTTTGCCCCAAGCAGAGGAACTCGTATGCTAGCTGCTTAGCCCTCGGCATTCCACCAGATACCTGAAAGATCCAGATGTCCAAGTCTCTGAGGAAAACTATAGGACCTTCTCAGCACCCAGCAGGTCTAATACAACTTGGCCTGAGGCCCAGCTCTCCTCCCTGTAGCCCTTTTGCCTCTTGGGCCTCCTTTGCATCTGCAGCCTGTCTGCTGCCTGACACATGCCCCCAGAAGTAGGAAGCTCAGAGGCTCTCCAGATGCTGTGTCCCTGTTCAGGGGCTTGGTGTGTAACCCTGAGCTGTGACAGCTCTGAGCCATGGCTTCAGGATGAAGCCACACAGAGCTGCATGAGATGAGAAGACATTTGTTAGGTAGGCCAGTGTGCAGGGTGTCGGGAGATGGAAGCCAGGGGTAGAGACCATGGCTAGTTCATTCTACCTTCAGCTGACTTTGTCAGGCCTCTTTAAGCAAAGGTTCAAAATGACCCAGGGCTGGATCATCTTTGGTAAGGGACATACAATATTTGATGTCTCAATGCCAATACCAAACTTAGATTTTAATGGAAGACTTATTTTTTGAGATAGAGTCTTAATTTGCTGCCTAGGCTTGAACTCAGGTGATCCTCCTGCCTTAGCCTCTCAACTGCCAGGAGTATAGGCTGGTGCCAGGATATCTGGCTTTCCAGGGCCTATTTCTGAAGACTCAGGCTCTCCCCCAGCCTACACCTGCACCTGCCTGTGGCAGGATGAAATGAGAACAGAGGAGTGTGGCTTCACAGGAAAAGCAGAGCCCAGGTTTGGATGGGGGCTCCTGGGAACTACCTGGTCAAAGCCTCGGAGAGGGATGCTGCGCATCATGACGGTGGTGTCCAGTCCAATTCCTGTGAGGAAGCCAGCACACTCCAGGGCCACATCTGCGGTGGCAGGCTAAGGAACACTAACCAACAGATCATGTATTATGGAGCAGAGGGGCAAAATCCCTGCTCTAGCAGTCCCAGGATCCCTTGTATCAGGTCAGCCCTAGAGGACACTTTTGCCATGAGATGCAGATTTCCTGACTCCAGGTCTCAAGTGCACAGCACTGCCGGCCCCCGTGTCAAGCCCCTGTGTCAAGCCCTACAGCATCCACAGGTCAGGCAGGATTCTGCCTCTCTACAGGGCTTCCATCTGGTTCTGGAATTTAGTCTCTGCCTTCAGGAGAGAGGGTGGAATTTTGGATGGAGAGCTCCTGGCCAGACTCAGGGGAGAAAAGACTTGTGGGTAGAGACAGAGCACTGCCTGTGACCTATGCTCCTATGCTCAGCCTGGGGCTCTAGTCAGGGCTTTCATCTTTCCTCCCACATCCTGTTCTGACCCTAAGCCCCTGGGGGCTCCCCTCTTGACCCTCCCTGATCTGACTGCTCCTCCTGCAAGAATGAGGCCAGCTTAGGGCTTCTCTCAAGGGAGGCCTGCTGGTCACAGCCATCTCACAGCAAGGTTGCAGCCATCTCCAGCTGCCTCAGCTGGCTCAGTGTGTGGCTCAGGACAAACCTCCGGAAAGCTGTAGTCTCAGAAGGTCAGCCTTAAATGGTCCCTTGGGCCCAGGCCCCAACCCCAGGAAGTACAGTAAGTCCCTATGCAAAATAGCAAAGTACTTGCTGGGAGGGAGAACAGTAAGGGGGTGAAACATCGCACCTTAGAGCAGCTACCTGCACTCAGGCAAAGGATACAGCTGGCCCCAACCACCAACCTGTAGGAGAAAGCAGCAAAGCATACAAAGTGAGTACCAGAAAGGCCCATAGGCAAACACACTGTTGTCCCACAGGTGGGACAAAGATAGACCCTGTAGCCTTCCTGCCAGGCACTTATGAGCCAATGAGAACTGAGACTGACCGTTTAAACAGGTCATCACAAAGTACAGAGCCCACTTCTCAGCAGCTATAGCTGTGAAATATAACACGACAAACAGTGCTATTGAACCAGCAAATTGCCTGGTGGTGAAGGGTGCATGGTCAGTGACAAATGACACCTGGCCTGTAAAAGGCACGGGTAACTCCAGGCTCCCGTGGACATGTTGAGAGACATCCTTCAGAAGCACAGGGCTTTCTTTTTTGCCCACAGGTGAGTCTTGCCTTGGGCTTCTCGGAACCTCCTGAGCCAGAATGGAAGCAGGAATGGCCTGGCAGGACGCCAAGGGGACCAGAATGCAGGTAGGAGGTTGTGGGAAGAGGCTTCTATGCGCAGAGCACTCTCCAGCCATGGAAGGTCATGGCCTATGCCTGTGTGTCCAGCCCTACTACACCTAGGCCCTGGGCCAAGAGATCAGCTCCCCAGAACCAGGACAGGGGATTCCTGGGGAGGAAGCAAAGGACACTGTGACCCACTGGAAGCAGTTGCTTAAATCCTCTCTTGTGCCCAGCTCACACTCGACATACATACACATGCATTCACCCACATATTGGGACATGAATATATGCAAAGTATTCACACAGACTTACACACATGCATGCACATACATACTGTGAACACGTGGCATACACACGTAGTCACCCACATCTGTGCACATCCTCTTGTATGAACATTCATGCATAAATACTGACACTGGCACTTACGTGCACACTCACAAAAATGGGCTCAGAGAACAAGGATTCCCAGCCAGGGAGGCTGCATGTGGGTGGGCTCGTCGGATCACCCCTTCAGTCTTTGAACAAAAGCAGGTGATGTAAGGATGGATAAGCCCTGTGTCAGCATTAATCCCGGCAAGTACTAATGATATAATTCCATTTCAAAAAGTGGCGGATCCCTCAGAATACTTCTGCAGGTGCCCCGCGGGAAGCATCTGGCATGCGGCTTCCGCACAGGAGCTAAGGACAGAACCATACTGACTGGCTGGGTACAAGGTGGCCCCAGCTGGTCATACAGCTCCACTCAGTGTGTATAATGAAGGTGAGAATCCTAAGGCCCCCAACAGACCAAGAGAGCAGAGGTGCTTTCTGGACCGCCCTCCCCCCCACAGAGCTGACAATGCCAAAGAAACATACATAGGGTGCAAATGTGCATTTGCCTATGTGCAGACACCTGTGCTGGTGCAATACGCCTCCATGTGGAGACACTTTCCACAATATAAAACCTAACTCTTTTTGGATATGATGTATGTAAGTAAAAGGTCTAAACTTTAAGATATTGAAACTAGAGCTGGAGAGATGGCTCAGCGATTAAAAGCACTGGCTGCTCTTGCAGAGGACATGGGTTCAATTCCCAGCACCCACATGGTGGCTAACAACCATTCATAACTCCAATTCCAGGTGATCCAACGCCCTCTTCTGACCTCCACGGGCACTGCATGACACGGGTGCACTTACTGACTTGCAGGCAATACACTCATACACATAAAATAAAAATAATAAATAAAATATTTTTAAAAATTTAAAGCTGGGCATGGTGGCCCACGCCTTTAATCTCAGCACTTGGGAGGCAGAGGCAGGCAGGTCTCTGTGAGTTCAAGGCCAGCCTGGTCTACATAGTGAGTTCCAGGCCAGCTCGGGGCTACAGGAAGACCCTGTCTCAAAACACACATACACACACACACACACACACACACACACACACACACATTTTTAAAAAAGATATTGAAACCATGAATTACTTAAGATGCAAACAAAAGTCAGCTGCGTTGATCATCCTGGCCTACACGTACAATGAATGGTAAGAAACTGCATGAGCATTTAAATGCTCCTTTTGCTCCCAGCTCCCTGAAGTACAGTGCCCAGCCCCTGTCTCCCAACAAGCTGTGCAGGCTCCAGTGGGGCAACACCTGTGCAGTTCTTGTGTCAGCAATTGGACCTCCCAACTTATATTAAATCTCCCTGTGGACCCTCTCCAGGGGGTGGGCCAGCTGCAATCCAAAACCCAGGGCTGGGCTTTTTCTAGGCCCTCCTACCACGACACTGAGCATGAAGCAATGCAGTCTCCTGAGTCTTAAGAGCATCTTCTGTTTCTGCAGTCCATGTGTGTCTCCTGGCCTCTTACACAGGGGGCTGTGTGGAGGAGATGGGTGGGCAGACAGCCAGGGATCACCATCTGCTCCAGGGAAATCCCCTCGAGCACCTTGGACCTCCTTTTGAGGTGACCCCACAACAGAAAGTGGGGAACCACTTCCTAAGTGCCCCTAGCCCTCAAGCAACCAGTTCTAAATTGCCAACTGGAGAACATATGCCAGGAAGGCAGGCACATTCCCCTTGACTATCTGTGTACCCTGAAAGCTCTACAAAGGCTCACATCTTACTTGAATGGATGATGATTTTGGGTCAGTTGTTTTATGAACCAGGATTATGGTCAATATTACTTTTTTGCTCTACCTTTCCCTTATTGATCAAATAATCAGAATGTTTATTCTTTGAAGGATGCAAGATACAAGGACTAAGACAAAGAACTCCCTTTAAACCCAGGGAAGCACTAGGAATGGCAGCACATATCAGTAATCCCAGCACTTGGGAAGTAGAGGCAGGAAGATCATGAGTTCAAGGCCAGCTTGGGCTACACAGCGACTTTGAGGCCCGCCTGGATGCTATCTTGAAAAGAAAAAAAACAAACAAAAAACAAAAAACATTGAAGTAAGAAGACACTGGAACAAAAATGAAGACAAACATGAACCTTCTAGATTCTGAAGTCAGAGCTCTCAGAGACTGGTAGTTACCGACTGGCTTCCACTGGCCATGCTCCCTGGTCAAGGCCTGGTCAAGACAGATAAGGTTCAGTGAGGCCAGGACATCAAAGAGACACAGTGACAAGTGCAGTCATGGCTAGCCACAGGGGGACAGCAAAGTTGGCAGATCTGGGAGAGGGCCTGGAAGCCCAGGACTTACCACTGCATTTAAAGACTCTGAGATCAGGTATTTATTTGTCTGGTGCAAGTCACCATCTTGCACCCTGTGAACCTTGAATCCAATTCTACCTATGTCTGGGCTCCTGTGCCATTTAGCAGGCCAACATTTTTCATGGATATATAAGCACCATGAGATTAGTCTAATCACAGGGCGGCTTGCTTATTCTGAATTGAAAGGGGGAAACAAAGGCATTAACACAGGTCTGCAAAGCCAGGCTTACAGAGTACTCAGTCTGCCTCTTAGCCTGAAGGACCCTGATCCCCTCTCCAGGAGGCAGACCCACACAAGTGACAATCTCGAAGGAGCACCTGGCTCCTTGGTAGTGCTACCAGCACAGGAAGTACCAGTCAGGCTGCAGAGCTGCAGACACTCTGGGAGGCAGCAGAAGCAGAGCACCCCAAATCTTCCACTCTAGTGGGGCTGGCTCCAGACTTGCCTGGACCAGCCAGCCCCATCCAACCAACCCTTCCAGGTCTGCCCCTGGGCCAAGCTCTGAGTGGTAAAAGCCACCTAATGTCCTGGCCCCATGCAGGCAAACAGGCAGAAAAGCTGTATGGCCTGAGAACCAAGTCCTAGGTGGACAGCTGCTCTCCCTTCTACTGCACCAGGATATGAAACAGACACAGAGGCTAAGCAGAAAATGAGAATATTATATAGCAGTGACTTCTAACTAAGCAGCTGTGGCTTTTCTAAGATAAAATGCATCTTCCTACCTCCTGTGCTTAGGAAAGGAGAAAAACGACCACAGTACCTTGGCCAGCTTCCAGACTTCATAATGAGGATCAGGCTGAAGCTGCTTCCATGACCAACTCTGACAGGCAGCGTTAAATCCACCCATTATAAAAATACTCCCCCTAGCCAGCCCTGGTGGCTCATGCTTGCATTCACGGCACTCAGGAGGGTGAGGCAGCAGCAGGGAGGGGGGGTATGATATACTATGAGATCAAGGGCAGCCTGGGCTACACAATAGGTTCCAGACTAGTCTATGCAAGAGTGAGACCCTGTCTCTAAAAACAAAGCATTCTCCCTGCTTCATAATGCCTGAGGACAGAATGCCTCAGGCTGGCATGGCCACATGAGAGTGGACAATTATGGGCTGGCTTCAGCCCCTACCCTCCCAAGGTCAGTGTGTATCCAGGACAGTTTAAATGGGACTGATAGCTGTGGGAGAGGTTGGTCTTATGCTTTGTAAGTCTTTTGGTGACCAGAAGCAGTATGAGTAGACAGCAAAAACAAGCAGATTGTGACTGTTACCTAGAAACAGCAACAAAGGTACTGGCTCTCAGGCCCAGCATTGGGAAAAGCTGCCAAGCCAGCTGCTTACTCACTGAGGCTTCCTCACTATCCTGGGTTGGCCAGCCCGGGACCAGACACAGTGAGCCCCAGCACCCACTGACCAGCCTGCTGGGGGTAAAGGGATGCAGAAGAGAGCAACTGTGGGCTCCTATTTCAGAGTTTGGATATCTAGAAGTAGAGGAAGAGATGCCTGGGATGCTGGGCCAGGTAAGTTGGGGACCAGGCTCAAGTATCTGTGGAGCAATGAGGCTTTATGGAGGGACAGTCCTCCAAGTGAGGAGGGGGACAGACAGGAAGATGGCCTGGGTTGTGGGGAGTAGTGGCAAGGCCAGTACTTGCCATCCCCTTGTCCCCATTCACCCTGTCATCAGGCTTCCTATGAGTTATTGTTGAATCCTGACACCCAAGGCCTGCTTCTTACAGGAAGTTTAAGGAGCCAAGTTCACTTTCTTCCCCTTCTACGTTCTTCCACTGCTAGGACCTTGCTCCGTCCAACTGAATAGTTTGTCTATAAGGAGCCAAGCACCCTCTACACTCCCACCTTATTTCCTAGTAGTGAATAACTGCC